AATAATAATAAAATAATAAAAATATAATAATAATATGATTTAATAATATAATAAAATATAATAATAATAATAAAAAGAGTTTCAGAACATAATTCATATGCCATTCTATTTGCATAACTCAGCGGTGAGGCAGTTGCAGTCGAAACTTCGCAATAAACGAGAGAGTTTGGCTGAGTGGAAGGAGCGATTTAAGAGACAGGACACTTTTCACGGTGTTTTTATTATTTATTATTATTTGTTATTATTTATTATTATTATTTATTATTATTGTAATTTATTATTATTTGTAGTTGTTGTTGTTAGGATGCTAATTGAGTTAGTTCGGCGGTTGCGTGAACGTGGCGGTGTGGGCGGGCTTTGCACTGAAGCGCGCGTGCGATTCGCGGGCGGAGCCTGCACTAGTGGCTCCGCCTTTTTCGGACACTGCGAGCTAGGCATTGGCAAGCTCCGCCCACAAACCGTAGGGGAAGTGAGGCGCTCGCGTGTTATTCATGTTACTGCAAATTAATCGTGGCGAATCCGGGTGATACTTTGGAAGATAACTTTATGTGGTGATTTGACCTGGAATTAGAGATTTTTTGCAAAAAGCTAATCTGAAATTGAATTGTCGAGCTAAACTGTGACCTGAAATTGAAATCAGGTTCGTACGTGTCGCTGCGCGAAGGCACCGCAGAGGGGCGTGCGGCCACGACGACGCGTCGCGCCACGACGCTGATCGCTGTGGATACGCGCTGTTTGAGCGAGTCGCTGATGACCGACGACTATTTTTCGAATATGAATCCGAGGGCGANGAATATGAATCCGAGGGCGATGAAGCGAATCGTGAACGCGTTGACTTTGACTGGAAGGTTGTTTTTATTATTTATTTTTATTTATTTTGTTATTATTTTTTATTGTTTATTTTTATTTATTTATTTTTATTTTGTTATGATTTTGTATTATTTTTTATTATTATTGTAATCAATGTCGAAATGAACTGAGTACATTATGTGGTTGTTATTGGCGAATGGTTCGTCGCACTCGTTTGTGGGCGGAGCTTAACGTTTATAGGCGGGATGTAGTGGAAGGTCCGCCCACAAACGCGCATGCGTTTAGTGTAGCAAATGCGTGCGTGGTGCAGCTTTGGGTGAATGGATTCCATTCAGCTACTTGATATCTAGTTAATATTATGTGGTGGTGTATTGGTTATTATATTTAATAATAATAAATAATGTATAATAATAAATAATGCAGTGATATTAAATAATAAATAATGTGTAATAATAATAAATAATAATGTATAATATCAATGAATAATAATGTATAATAATAAATAATAATGTTTAATATCAATAAATAATAATGTATAATAAATAATGATGTATAATAATAAATAATATGTAATAATAAATGTTAATGTATAATAATAAATATTAATGTATAATAATAAATAATATATAATAATAATAAATATTGAGGTTGATGCGCGCGTTCGAGATCGAGTTTTCGTGGGTGACGTTGGGCTAT